AACAACCACCTTTAAAATAAATATTGAAATAAATAACTTGCATAAATAAATAAATAAATAAAGCAAGCAAGCAAGCATGCTAGTTCTTTTCCACTCTAATAAAGTCCAGACCTCCCATTTTTATCACCAAGATTAAAACAGCACATTCCAAACAATTGCTCTTTGTAAGTTAGGAGTTGCTAGTTTAAAAAATAAGTGTTATTTTTTCAAAAAATCACTTTTTTATTTCGTTCAGCTAGATGTTCCTGGTGGCTGAGGGTTTATTAAAAAAAAGTAAATGCAGGATTCCAGTCAGAGGTGTCTGCCGTGTGTGTGTGTGTGTGTGTGTGTGTGTGTCAAAAACAATCATGTGATCAAAACCCCACCCCCTTTTTACCTAAAAAGGGGGTAGGGCTTTGATCATAGAGCTGTGACCTATAGACACCCCTGCTTCCAATATTTCAGCATTTCTTGAGTTGCTTGAGATAAAAGGATTTCAAAGCATGAACCTTTTCTTTTAAGTGCTGGGAAAATGATGAAATACTGGAACCCTGCACTTATGGGTTGTTTTTCTAAAAAAAAAAAAAAAGACCTCAGCTAGTTAAGGAAAGCTAGGTAGATAAAAAAAATAAGTTTTAAAAAATTCTGCTGGTTTTTGAACCAGCAAGCTCTGCATATGAGGCTAAACTCTTACACATGGGATTAGTTTAACACAAATATAAAGGTGTTTCTTCCCCTGTCAAGCAGCCAATGAACTGTCAGGGCCGCTTGCAAGGAGGTAAAGTGCTCCAGCCAGGCCAGACCAGGGAGCTTAAGGTGACACAAGGAAGCCATTTTTAAACTGCAGCAGGAAAACGTGCCTGGAGTTGAATTGCAATGGAGGGAGGTGAGTAAAGGCAGACCTCATCCATTTCTGCCCCCCTACCCAAAATCGATGCTGTCCCAGTCTAGGCAATGTGAAAAAGCCTGTGTGGGTCAGCTGTTTTGAAAGCTACATTTGGGTTCACTTGGTGTGAAGTACCACAAAAAAGTGGTTTTGCCAAAAGAGCAAAGTGGGTTGTTTAACAGCAATTTTCCATCCCAGAAGAAAACACAAATTAATATTCACTCATATGGGCCACTGCTGCCCAATTTTTTCCTTAAAACTGAAGATAAACTGTTCTGGTTTAAGTCGTTCTTCTAAAGCAGGGAATGGTGCTGTTTAACAAAGGTGGGAATGGATATAGTGCCTCCTCCTCTTCACTGGGATCGTAGTCACTACAGACAACGTGGTTAACCTGAGGAGGTCACTTGAATGGGTTCTCTCTTTGGAAGCTTATCCCAATTGACCTCCAGAAGTAGCAGTGGGCTCACTGGGGGACTGGGATATTTTCCCTTAAAGCAAGTTGGCAGCCTGATTCTAACCATTGGAAAACCCAACTATAGTACTGTACAGACTTGTGCTTTAATGACCACATCTTGAGCTTCAAGCTTCAGTGGGATTTTCAAGGCATGGAAATAGCTATTAAAAACCAGGCCACCAGCATGCACATACTGGGGAGGGGGACACAGTCCAAAAAAGCAGGACGGCAGTCCCAACAGTGTGATCAAAACCTCCTAGATTAATTTAATAGCTACTTCCATGCCCTGAAAATCCCACTGAGGCTTGAAGCTCAAGATGCAGTCATTAAATACCAACTATTTTAACTCTCAATATTTTGAGCAGAACAATAATCCTAGATTAATTTAATTGATTTCAATGGGATTGAGCTAGATAGATAAAGTACACACTTTACATCCCAAAGATATAAGTCCATGCTTTAAGTCATAACTATAGTTAAGGGGATCAGGTAGCTGAAAAAGAGGAAGGTCTCTACTAGAGATATCCTGGTGTGCCGTTGCCGATCAGAACATCTGCTTTCAGACTCAGTGGATCAACACTCTGTATTGCTACATAAGGAAAGTTTTTGGTTTGCCTATTCTAACATTCTCTTTCTCACAGTGATCAACTCAAGTGTAAAAGAAGTCTATATGGCTTACAGGAAAAAAAGAGCCTGTTCCCTTTGCACTGTTCCAACAGTGGAGTTCATAGCAAACCATGATGACCCCAGTATGACGTCATTATTTAATCATGCAAATGTCACATTTATGTATCTGATGCAAATATAAAGTTGTGGCATTAGCATAATTACATTATCACACATGCATTGACATGTGCTTCCCTTATAGACATCTGTGTTTTGCAAGAACAGATATCCAGCGGTTTGGTGTTTCTAATCCTGGTGTGAGAAGGCAGGGAGAAGTGAAGGCCTCAAACAAACCATGTTTGCTAGGGGAGAGCGCTGTGCACCATGGGGCAGCCTTGGGG